TGTGTCAAAGCCTTCTTGCGTCCAAAAAGATGCAATCTACCCATCCCTCTCTCTCCTGTCTTACTTCTGTTACTTTATCGCAGAACTCCAATAGGTTTGTGACTCAAGATTTCCCATCTCTGAAGCCGTGCTGATTGTCATGTATGAGCCCAATCTTTTCAGTGTTCCACCAATTTTCTCCTGATAATCTTTTCCATGACTTTACATACTATACAAGTCAGTGACACTGGTCTGTAGTTTAACGCTGCCTGTCTCCTTTCTTAAAAATTGGAACTACATTTGCTGTCTTCCACGCCTTAGGCAATTGTCCAGTTTCGATAGATTTACTGAAGATTGATTCTGCTCCCTCTCTCTCTATCCATGGAGATATGTTATCTGCGCCCACCGCCTTTGAGGTATCTAGTTCACCTAGCAGTTTTTTCATCTCTTCCTTGGTTATGTGTATTGTGTCCAGCACCTTCTGGTGCACCCTACCTCCAAGGTTTGCTGGAAGCATTCCTGTATCTATTGTGTATACTTCTCTAAATCTTGTGATAAGTTCATCACATACTTCCTGGTCACTTTTCGTGAGCTCTCCTCCTTCTTTCCTCAGCCTGATTACCTGGTCCTTGACTGCTGTTTTTCTCCTAATGTGACTGTATAACAACTTTGGTTCAGATTTGGCTTTTGATGCTATGTCGTTCTCGTATTGCCTCTGGGCCTCTCTCCTTATCCCTGCATATTCATTTCTGGTTCTACTGCTCAGCTCCTTGCTATCTTGAGTCCTTTGTCTTTTATACCTTTTCCATGCTCTAGTAAACTTGGCTTTAACCTCTTTACACCTCCAGTTAAACCATGAGCTCACTCTGGTCTTACGATTTTTTTCTGTTACCCTTTGGTATGAACCTTTCCTCTGCCTCCCTGCACTTAGTGGTCACTAGTTCCATCATTTCATTTACTGTTTTTCCCTCTCGTTCTCTTTCCCACTGCACTTCATGCAGGAAACTTCTCATGCCTATGTAGTCCCCTGTTTTTAGGCTCAGCTTCTCTCCTTCTCGTGCTGCTGCATTCTCCACTGTTAACTCTACAAGGTATTCAAAACTCAGGATATCATGATCGCTAGTGCCCAGGGGTCTTTCGTGTGTGACATCCCCTATGTCTGAACTATTCAAGGTGAATATGAGATCCAGCCTTGCTGCAACATCCTCTCCTCTCCTCTCTGGTTGTATCCCTAACATGTTGGTGCATGAAGTTCTCCAATACAGTCTCCAACATCTTAGCCCTCCACATTTCTGATCCCCCATGTGGCTTTAGGTTTTCCCAGTCAATTTCTTTATGATTGAAATCCCTCATTATGAGTAATTTTGTCCTATCCATATGAGCCCTCCTCACCACTTCAGTTAGTGTATCCACCATTGCCCTATTGCACTCATCATACTCTTTGTCTTGGCCTCCTGCTGTTCAGTGGTGGGTTATACATCACTGCTTTCATCACATTTGAACCCCCAGTCTGAAGTGTTCTACAATGAAGTCGTCTGTTTCCCTCTGTCCATTCCTCCCATTTCCTCAAAACTCCACTGGTTTTTGATGAGCAGTGCTACTCCTTCCCCTCCTCTGTTCTCTCTGTCATTCCTCAATAGGATCTGATATCCAGGTGGAAAGACTGCATCTGTTATCATCCCTGTAAGTTCTGTCTTTGTTAGTGCTATGATATCAGGTGATGCATCAATGATTCATTCTTGCCACTTATCACTCTTATTTGTTATTCCATCTGCATTCGAGTACCATACCTTTAGCCTCCTTTCCATTACTGTATTTTGGGAGATGGAAGAGGAAGGTGCAGGCTGGGGGGTGGGAGGCTGCTGTGATTGTGAAATTAGTGCAGGGGGGGGGGAAGGCTTTAAGTGTTGTTTGTTTCTGGTTATCGGGTTTGGTTGATATGGGGTGACAGGGGTTGAGGGAATTCTGTAAGAATTTGTTTGATGTTCCGCCAAAGGTTGAGCTTACCTGTCTGCCGTTGCCTGTCCTGTCTCGCTTTCCATCCACTGGTTTCGTCTTGCTCTCACTCTCAGTTGATCCCTTTCTTTTCGTGTTATGTCCTGATTGAGGTACACTTGTTATTCTTGAGAGTCCTTTAGCAGTGGCTTCTGTTGTAGTATCCTGTTCCGTACCACTTCCGTCTTGAATATTAATTTGATTGGTCAATTTTTTTCCCTCGAATACCCCCCCAAGTTTGAGAAAATTTTCTAACCGAGACATGTCCTTCTCTCCTGTTATTGCTATGATGCACTTAATCTTTTCCTCCCAATACTTTCTTTCATCATAGGTCTTCCCTTCAGCCTCCTGAAGCCCATGAATAATTACTGACCTCTCCCTTGTTTCTTCCCATTTCTTTTCCCTCCATATCTCTGGATCTGATTTAAGCATTCCTTTGTTGTTTTCCCTTATCATCCCAGACACCCTGATAACCTGATATTACTTCTGCAAAAGACTTCTTAGCTCCATCCCCCCCCCCTTCAGT